ACCTGACGCGTCTCGGCATGGTCCGGAACACTGACATCCGGAAGAGCCTTTGTGTACAGCCTTTGCTTCTCCAGATTGAGAAGTCACACCTGCGATTGCTTGGGCATGTGTTGCGAATGCCTCCAGAAAGGAAGGCTAAGCAAGTGTTCCTTGCAAATCTGACCGGCACAAAGTCCAGGGGAGGGACAAGATTAACCTGGTGCAAATATATGGAAGGAGTCTGTTCCAGACTCCATTTGTCTTTTGCCGAAGTTCAGACTCTGGCACAGGATCGGGAACGTATATAATAATACTGTAGTAAACATATCAGTTTTCCATAGCTGATTTACAAGGCGAATATATATATGCCTTGTAAATCTGCTATGGAAAAGTGATATGTTTACTATAGTATTATTCCATTGTCCATTTTTCATGTTATCACATGTTTTGCGCCCGTTCCATATCTGATAATTGCAATCACAATTTCGCCTTGATATAGGCTTTCAAGTGAAACTGAAAACCCAGACAGAGTGAGGATTCGAGATTCCACAACTAATGCACAGGTATATTGAGTAGGAGATCGATTCGATGAGTTTTGGGAAACAACGTTTTCGATTCCCTGCAACGTTTACGATATGATTTGGTTGATTAAACTGCCGCCGTTTAATAAATTGTTTTAAATATAGAAAACTTTATTGAGTCTCTATTATTTTGATAGCGAGGAACATCCGCAAACAAAGGAATTGCACACGTCTCAAATGTCGCCTCCTCAGCCTCTAACAATGAAAAGTTGTTAAACGACACGCTTGAAGTGGCAAATAACATGCGTAAACAGATTGAAGAAATCAAAGCAGCTCACAGTGAGGAGGTTAAAGTACTGCGAGAGCGACATTCGAAAGGTCACAAGGAATGGAACAAAGAAAGGTTTGATCTTCAACGCAAGATCAAGGAGGTAAGCGAGTGATTTTGGTTTAGGACTTGAACAGGTAAACATTTTTCTAGTTGGAAGGAAACGTTCAGATATTGGAAATCGACCGTCGTAACTTTCTTAGTTCGAAGGACTCCAGCGAAGCGGAGCGAATTCACTTGCAGAATGAAAGGGACACCCTCATCGCTCATCTACAAGACACGGAAATCCATCAGCTTGCCAACAAATACAAGCTAGACCGTGTGTCAGATGATCTGGGCAACACGGTTTCTAAGCTTAATTACGTGGAAGCGAAACGACCAGAAATGAATGAAATTAATCAGATCATTCGAAAGGTGAGGCACATCAGAGTTCAGTATGGAAACAGTTAACTGATTTGGAAAAGTAGCCTGTTTGAATGACTTTAGGTAAGTATCTTCCCAGTGAAGGTCAGATGCAATATCATGATTATGCGTTCATTTACTCCGGAAATGCCTTGTGCGTTTATTTTTGAAAGGAATCCTAGAAACGTCTTTCACGCTAGGAGCTTAAAGAACTTCTGTTCCTGAAGTTCCGCGAGTAAAAAAAATTAATTTTTATCGTTTGAGTGAAATTTTAATTTTTTATAGTTATCTTGTAGTAGATTTCCCAGAGCGTTATAAGAAAACAGACGTGTTTCTTGAATTACATATAGACGTTAAGCAGTAGATAAATTAAGTTTTCTAACAGAAGTTAAGTTGTGCCGTCGGTTAGAGTAGCATATGCATTTTAGCTCAGCGAATTTGCATTGTGAGGCAACACCGCGCTTTTGTTCCTAAAGGTCTAGAGACTCTTTTTAAAGCAGCCACAGCTTCGTGATATTGTGACATCTACAATGCACGATTAGAAAACCGAATTACTGCATTAGATAGGACAATTATAATGCCTGGTTAGTGTATCAAACAGGTTATTGCTCGACCCTGCGCATCGGTGTGGTTTTGCATCCATGTGACGCAGAGATAATTGATTCACAGAGTTTTGGCCTGATTAAAAAACGAACAGGCTTCGAAGGGCGAGAGAGCAGTTTGTTTACATTGTTTAAATATGGAGAAATGACAGTACGTCTTGAATAATTCAGCTATGAGATAAAATTGCTATAGTTTACTGTAGTCTGGAAAGTGCACAAAGCATGTGATGCAGAACTGTTCTTTGCTAAAAAAGGCAGATTATCCTAGAGAGTTTTACTTCATTGTTTTTATTAGTATTATTATTATTATTCATTTTTTAGCTATCTCTGTGTTGTTTTGAATTGGTAAAGTTATAAAATGAAAGAAGACGAAAATTTTCAAAACAGTTTAATCTCAGGATTTGAACAGAGTGGAATACCGCTTCATATTCCTTTTGTTCACATAATTAATAAAACAGTTACATCGAAATTAAAAGACTTTTTTGCAGAAAGCACAGAAGCACAAAATTACGTATCATGCCAGAATTTCATTGTATCTATTAACGTTCGCAATTATCATAAATGAAACAGCCCTTTTGTCGTCTGAGTGAGGGGTTTAGTGATTCATGTTAAAGTTTAACTTCCCATGTGACCTTGTATACTGTTGTGAAGTACTGTGCATTCCGCAATTAAAGCTTTTTCTGGACAGCAATATGCTTTACCCAAGATTATGCTGCTTTGAAATTTAACGAATACAGAATTAACTAGAATAATGTCAAGACTTAGTGCAATAAACGATTAATGACCGGATAACTTCATATGCTTAGCATTGAAGGTATCTTCTGAGGTAAGACTGAACGATTTCTTACCAGATAATATTTTTAAGTGGGACCAGTCATTGATTTATGTTTTTAGAATATTTATGTTCAATTTAATCGTTTCAACCGGTATATATTAACTGCATAATAACGCTAGAGAACGACTATAATTCCATTGGGCCAATTATTGTTCGCAGCTTTGCACTCCATCTGCAACGGGAATTCATTCTGTTGAGAGAATCTTTTTCGTTAACGTTCCTCCATTTTCACGCTCAGGTTTTTCATCGCAATAAGACTTGCTGCTGCAAGTTTGATATGATAGCTAACATCGGTGAATGAAACTTGAGAGTAGCATGGCGTTGCTTGCTTTAACGTCGTGAAAGAAGACGCGAAACCGTCAGTCTAATCCTATCTATCGTTTTCTCGTATGCGCCGTGACTCTTAAATGTGGAAAGATCAAATAAATTTGTTTTTATTATTGTTTTAATGATGATTTTGTATCACCTGTTCTGTTAGCATTATCTGCTGAGATTCAATGCGAAATCTGCGCAGAATGAGTTTTTTAGAATGGCGACTGTAGTTAAGAATTGATTGATTCGTCAGAGCGAAATTTATCTGGTATGTTCGTAATCTTTACTTTCGACTTTTCTAATAATTTGAAATCCTCCTCGATAACTCTAAAATGCTAAACCTTCTGTTCTATTGACAAAATGCCCATTCAGACGGTGGTCACATTTGCTCTTCAATTTTTCCGTTTATTCTGAATTAAAGGAATTTTTATTTAAATATTGCATCTTTCCACTGTAGATCACAAATTCAATATTGTTTATTTAGCTGGATTAACTCTCACTGTTTTCCATTTGTTTCAGTGCCTATTATTTTTCATTCGAAAGGCCTTTCCATATTCACTATAAGCCGCATTCATGGAAGCTAATATTTCTTGAATTTTCTGAAACATATACTGCCAGTACCCTTTCATATTCCTGTTTTTCACAAGAGCTCTTGTTTCAAACGCGCAACCGTGCGAAGATGGGGATGAATCTTTGTCTGGTTTGCTAGATGGACCAGCATTCAGCAGTCACATGGATCGAGTCGATCACATTTCCTTTGTTCTTCTTGTGTTCACGCCTTCCGCTGCTAGCACGTTCTTTGTAAGTTAAAAATACCATCGTCTTAAAGCGTGATTGAGCGGTCTTGATTGGTTCTGCGGTTAGCAAAGGCATCTTACCATTCGCAATGTAGATTAACATAGTGTTTGTGATGTTATTATTCGATAATGTTCGCATCACTGTCTTGAAGCGTTTTCATTTGGTTTTATGATATTTGCCCTTCTTAAACTGCTGATTTCTTGTTATCTTGATCGTGTTATCTACTCATTCATTAACATTCCTAGTTTACCGTCTTTTCATACGCTGTTGTTGTTTGCTACCATCGTCTTTCATAGCATTGCAGACTGCTTAAGAGGTGTGATTCCCACTTAGCTGCACTTATCGCACTTTGAAATTATGAACTGCTAATTGCTTCAAAGAAAGAAACATTCTTCTTCGACAGCAGATCTCCGTTATCTCTTCATGTGATGAAGCATAAAAATTGGCAAAACACGGTTTATTCCTGCACAACGCAAGCTAATTGGCGAATCCAGTGATTAATTAGTACCAATAATTCGACTCGTCTCTCACAGGTCATCTTCAGGGTTAACGGGGTTGATTTCTATAGTTGCTTCTGTGGTCTGCAGCTATTGTGACGTATGGAGGCAAAGATGCACTTAGGCCTTGTCCACCCAGAAGAAGACCCGTGAAAGACCAGCTGAAACGTCGGTACTGTTTAATCACCCGATTATTCAATTTGGATGCATTTTCTATCAATGAATCTGTTTTTGTGTAGTTTTGAGTATGAAAACCAACGCAAGAATGAATTACTGAATCTGCGGACTTCATCAAGCCCAGATAAGTATAACAGGTATTCTCACACAGCTTCGACTTCTCCACTGCGGTTCATTTTGTGGTAGTTTAAGTTTGAGTGCTGTCAATAAAATTTTCTAAAGCATTTTGTCTGTTCTTCTGTACCAATCAAAATGCTTCTTATGTCATTTTCTTCACTTCATGACGTGAGCAGCAAAATCGAAGCATACGTGAATTTCTCTACTTTATAAACTTGAATTATATGAATCTTTTTCAAACATGTAGAAGTAAATGTATGTAAGCGCAATTTGTTTAATGAAGAGCGACGAAGCATTGGATGCTTTATTTCGATACTTGTGTACTGTACTGTTATGTGTGTATTCTTATAATTGCTTTTATAGTATGCTTGAATTAGCAGTGAAATAATAATTCTTACTAAGAGATGTTGCTTAAACTGGTGACCGCGCTGTATCTTGCAATGATGGGATAAGTAATGTGAAAATTCTGCAGGCAGTGGAACAGCTTAAAGCCGTTCGTGAAGATATGGGTAAAGCGAAGGAACTCGAGAAAACGATTAATGCTTCAATTGAAGATTCAAGCAACAGGCATGCAAAGTCCCGGTCTGCTCTGTTGGGAAGTGAACTTGTCAGTGATATCATGTCGAAGAAAAACGGTCGGCTGACTTCCGTTGGATGTGAACCAATGGTTGAAACACAAATTAACGACACAGCTTTAAACAGGAAGACAAATAACCTGACTGTGGAGAATGTCCACAGCACCGGAAGAATAGGTGGCATGAGTAGAGCTGCTAGTAGTGAATCCAGATACGGGTTAGAAACCCTACATCGCCTTCGCAGTCCGTCCCCATCTCCTCGCAAAATCACCAATTATCCTGAAGCACCGCCGAGCATTATATTTAGTATGCGTTGTTGTTTAAAATAGAATTGCGCAAACTCCGCACTTTGTAGATCTGAAGAAGAGTGTTGAATACGATGACCGGGGAAGATTACACTGGACGAAGCCAATGACACGTAGTTACTCATTAGATCAGAGTCCGCTCCCCGTATCAGGTACATCAGAAAGGTGGAACTCAGAGGAAAGTGAAATGCAGTTCGGCAGATCTTTCGTTCGTAGTTCTAGCACTGGTAAACATTTTTTATTTCAGGCCTGTGCAGCTGCATAAACGATGGTACTCTTTTAACACAGATGATAAGTTTCAGAGGCAGAAAAAACGAATGACACACGATGCATAAAAACGATAAAGGTATTTGTGTTGTAAGTGCGCTGTCGTTTAGGAGCGGAACACCCCAACAGAGTCTCCAATGGAGTCAACGAAAGCAGTTTTGACGGAAGCAAGACCGACATTAGTAGCAACGGCTCACCGAGTCCTACCGGAAGACGAAAGTTGGGTTCTATTTTTGCCACTTTACGAAGAGGTCGTGTAAAGGAGAAACGCATGTTGTTCAGCAGAGATCAGTCAAGCTCGGTAGAATCTACCGATCTTGGTCAGACGATAGGCGCGCTGGGTATGCAGGTAGGTGCCAGATATCGGTTGCAAAGCAAATGCTTGCATTAACATTTCTGTAGACGGTTGTCCCTGGCATCGATTCTTCGTCGGCAGAGAAGGTCTTGCATAATCCGAAGTTGGACCCTAAGCAAAAGCGCTCGAACAGCGCCACTCGCCTTCTAGCCAAACTTCGTCGACGCAGCAAAAGTCGGGACAGCACAACTTCGCAGAAATCTGTCGACACCGACTCGAAACAATCGGCTGATGAAAGCGATGAGAAACATCATCGGTCAAGATGGCGACTCACCCTAATCAAGAAGCACAGCTCTCCACATGAATCGACAACGCAAGCAGTAATTCAGCATTCTTTCGATGAATTAATTGTTGCACTCTCTCGCTTTAAGTCTGCGTAATTTCTAATAACGATTTACTTACGAATCCCTCTGAATGATCGTTTCTGAAAATATTTTGGGAAAAGAATTTCTCTCCACTTCACTTTCCATAACTGTTTCTACCGTCGAATCGCGTAGGAAGACGCTACAGACAGTGCTTCCAACGTTTCTGATTTTGTGATAGCGTTTGAGCTTCGATAGAAGGGCAGTCAGAGTCCGGAGCAGACCTTCAATACACTTGCCTCAGGATCAGTGAAATGCAGTCCTTGCTTCTTCCACACAGTCGGCTAGGCAAGAAATAGTTGTTTCTCCTTCCTTTCTAAAAGTATTCGCAACCAGTGCCGAAACCATCGCAGCTGTGACTTTTCAATCTGGAGAAGCAGAGGCTCTACACCAAGACACTCTCGGATTTCTGTACTGCAGACCATGTCTAGACGCGTAAGACCAGCGACTCATCTCATTGAACCCATTTCAGCCGTTTGTACCAGGGATCAAAGCTAGTCAGGCATGGATCATGAACCTTTCTAAGCAGCACTGGAGATCAGTTTCAGATGATGCTAATAAAACAAGGTCGTCTGCAAACAGCAACCTTCTCGACTTCACATCTCATACACCGGTACCCTCATCGCCTTGGCAGCTCCTGACTATTCTATCCATGTACAACACAAACAGGAGAAGAGATAGGACGCAGTCCCGGTCGAGACCAGTGTAAACCTTGAATGGTTTCGACTTAACGCCATTTATTCTGACACAGCACTTCCTCTAGGAATATAGTGATTCGATGGCCCGTAGTAACTGGCCATCAATCCCATATGTTCGCAGGCATGCTCATAGATTGTTGCGCGGAATCTGGGCAAGGGCTTTCTCTGTGTCCACAAAGCGTACATAAATGGGATGGGCCAATGCCCACGATTTCTCAGCAACCTTTCGTTGGGCAAATATCTGGTCAGGTGTGTGTGCTTCAGATGGACCAGAAGCCACACTGCTCTTCTTGTATCTTGGGATCAGTTATTCTGCCGCATCTCCTTTCTCAAACCTTTGCGTATGCGTTCCTCGAGAGGCTCAGTAAGGTGATGCCTATATACCTGGAGTACTTCTTATAGCGTACCTTGAACAAGGAGACCACTAACCGAGTTCGGCAGTCCACGGTGTCTTCTCTGCGGTCGTTGCATTTCGATAGACACGTGTAAGTCAGCACATGCCCTGTGCCCTAATGCTTTATGCATTTCAGGGCAAATTTCATCGAAACCAGTAGCTTTTCTACTCTTCAAGCTTTTCACAGCTTATGTAATTTTATCTACAGAGATACTAATATCTGTTCCCTGCTGCTCTTCAGGCGAGTCTTCCTGTGGTTGCTCATGATTAAGGAGTTCTTCAAAGTACTTTCTCCATCGCCAAAGAATGTCATCAGCTTCAGTATGAGAGTGCCCAGACTTGTCGTTGGAAACATTTAGACTGTCCATCTTTTCACCTTAGAGCCGTCGGAGGCTCTGCAAGAATACTTCTTTTGCCGTCTGAAAATTTCACTTCAACACTTCACCGAACTTCTCCCAACAATCACCCTTGGTTTTCGTCACTGCTTTCGCCGTCTGATGCGCTTCTACATACCACGCGCAAGTTGAAAGCTCTTTGCCTCTTTGCTTCCAAGCCTTTTCTTAAATGCAGCCTTGTTCTCTTTATTTGCCAGTTGTACCTTTCGTGTCCACCATGACGATCTTTTCTGACCTCCAGGCGGCAGGC